AACCGCGAAAAACCCAAAAAAAAAAAAAAAAAAAAAAAAAAACAATAAGCGAACGAAGAAGCAAAACCTAAGCACGGAACGGAAAACGAGAGAGAGAGAGCACCCGACGTCCACCGCGCGAAACGACGGCGCAGCAATCGAGAACGAGAAGAGGATTCCTGAAGAGGACGGTGAGATTAGTAAGGAAGCGAAATTGAGGGAAATGGAGGAAGGGAGAGAGGTGATTACAGTGCGGCAATGTCCTTGAGAGAGGACATGGAGGCCTCTCTGACGGAGGAAGAATCGTCGGCGAGTAAGGAGAGGAGAACCTGCACGGCTTCTGCAAGAAAGAGATGAGTGATTGAGATCAGAAGAGGAGTGGATAATGGATTGTTGAGAGAAGGTACCGGATGCGGGGATTGAGGTTGAGGAAGCCATGGAATTGGAAGGTGCGAGAATCGGAAAGACGACAGCAACATAAATAGAAGAGTGGTGCCTCTTCTTCACACACACCCTGCTGCGCTGCTTTTCTTTTCTGTTGCCTCAATGCCTAACGCCTCGCAGGAAATCAATAAACTACTCCTTTTTCACGTTTAGTATGGGTCCCGCCTTCCACCCAACCTCAATCAACATTTCTTTTCATTAATATAAATATATACACATCATTAACTTTTCGATAAACTTGTTAATAAATATTTATAATAACGAAATTAATTAATTTTTTTACTTAAATATGTCTTTAGCATAGATATCAAAATAGGTACAACCTGCGGATTAACTCACTTTGCTCGTCGAAAACAAGTTGTATTAAGTAATTTAATCTTTCTACTTGTATAATCTGCCCAGATAAGGGAAGGGTTATGTTCAACTGTTGGTTGAGTTTAGATTTTTGTAAATTATTTATTTAATATTTTTATAATTAGACTTTATATGTTGAGATTTTGAGAAGGTCAACTCAATACAACTTATAATGATCGGATTATGTTGAGATTTTTTCTCAGTTTTAAAATAAGTATATACTCTAATTGGTTTTTTTTTACAGGGTAAGGATGGGTTGGCTTAAGTTAGCCCGTTTAACATTTTTTATTTTTTATTTTTTTATAAAATAATGAGTTTTTATTTTGTTTTTTTGTCAATTTTTTTCTTTAATTTTCATTTTTGAAAATTTTTATTTTTATCATTTTACATAACTCATTAATAAATGTATGTGCCGAAGAGAGGGTCTAATAACCATTCCAATTAGAAGTGTTTATGATCATAATTTTAAAAATTTTAAATTAAATTGAATTAACCTATTTTATCAAAGTAGATTGGTTAATCAATCTGTTTTTTATAAAGTGGATCAATTCATTTTTTAAAAAAATATAGATCAATTTTTTTAAAAATTGGATCATTTTGGTGTAGTGTTGTTATCTAAATTTTTACTCACATATGAGATGATTATTTAAAAAAATTGAACTAAATCAACCCACTTTATAAAATTAATCGATTCAAATCGGTTTGAATTTTTTGCATATCCTTAATTCCAACTAACACATATTAATATTTACAATATCAAGTCAATATATAATATCAACAAAATTTTAAAATTTTCTAAAATAAATATTATTTATATTGGTTAAAGTGAATGTTTTCAAAATTTGAAAAGATGAAAAAAAGGGGCTAAAATAAAAATAATATTACTCATTATGTATGAACCAAAAACAATTAATTTAAATTTTAGGAAAGAAAAAATAATATAAAAATTACACAAACAAAAAAAAATCATTTTATAGAAACTGAAATTATATTAAACTCTAGTTTTTATATAAGTTAAAATTAATTTATGAATTAACTAATTTAATGAAACTCCCTCATTTAGATTTTTTTCAAAAATTAATTTTAATTTCAGCATAAGTTAATCATTTATGTATATATAAATTAGAATGATCATATTGAACAAGAGTATTTTTAGTTATTAATCTTCGTTTATTTAACTGTTTTTTCCAACAAGGATGTTTTTAGGGAAATAAATTAACTTTTTACCTTTTTAATCTAATATTTTTATTTTTATTTTTAAATTAAATTTTATTATTTTTAAAGAATTATTAATAATTAAAAATAATTTTATATCATGTGATAATATAA